ACTCTTCAATAATGTTTGGGTCACTCCACCAAGTAAAGAATCATGACCCACTGAGGCGCTTGCTGGTGGCAAAGGGAATATGGAATGGGTCATGGAAGAAGGTAGTTATAAATGCCAGCTATGACCATGTGGTCAGTCTCAGAAATGAGAACTGTAATCATCATGAGTGTTTCTTCATTTCAGTGTGTGTGTGTGTCTGTGTGGTAAATATCTTTGCTTCCCCTTTTTTCCCCCTTTATCATATAACATAAGATGTACTGACTTTATGTCATAGTAGTTAAGTATTATTAACTTTACATCACAATATTTAAGTTATGGGATATCAAGAAGAAGAGTAAACATCACCCAAGGACTTAGTACCCTCTTCTGGGGAAAGCATTAGTGTGTTTTTTGGTTGTATGCAGGGTAGTTATACATGTTAGGTGGAAGTACGATCTTGCTATTGTCTTTATTCAGAGATTAAATATAGCTTAAGGAGATGTGTATAGGTGACAAGTTGATAAGGGGTGAACTTATGATCGCTAATTTTATGTCAGTTTGGCTTCCGAATACCACGATGCCTAGGTATTCAGTCAAATATCATTCTGGATGAAACATGAAGGTAGTTTTTTGGATGAGATTAACATTTAAATCAGTGGCCTTTGAGTAGAGCAGATTACTCTCCTTAATATGTGTGAGCCTCATCCAATTAGTTGAAGGCCAAATAGAACAAAGACTGATCTCTCCCAGAGCAAGAAGGAACTCTGCCAGCAGACAACTTTTGGACTCGAACTGCATCTATTCCCTGGGTGTTCAACTTGCTAGCCTGCCCTGCAGATTTTGGACTTAACAAGCTTCCACAAACTCATGATCCAATTCCTTAAAACATCTGTCTCTGTCTCTCTCTCTCTCTACACACACACATATCTTTTGGAGTATGCTTCTCTGAGGAACCCTAATACACTATTCTAAGTATTTTACATGTATTGTCTCATTAGTCCTCCTGAGAACCCTATAAGGGAGGTATCATTTCCAGTAAATTGATTAGGCAAATGAGGCACCAAGAGCTAAAATAATTAAAGTGTCAGAGTTCCTGAGAGGTGGAACCAGAATTTGAATTCCAAGGCTCTCAGTCTTTAACTGTTTAACTACTAGATTCTACCATTTTCCAACTATGCCTTCTGCTCTATATCTTGTCTGCTTCACTGAGTCATTCCTGATGAGTATCTCTCTCTTTGATCATTAATTTGGAACCAAAATCATAATGATTATAATGTGGTCTATCATATCTTATTTAATACATTGTTTATTCTTAAACATTTCTTTTTCTTTTTACTAATTATTAATTATCAGGAATTCTTCAATGAACATCCTTATAATACCTTTTTGTTCATTTCTATTTTTTCCCAAGACAAAGTGTCCTAGAAGTGGGATTTCTGAATAAAACATTGGGCATGCCCTCAACGTGCAAGAAGTTATGCATACTTACTTGGAAGAAACAGATTAATAAGATATAATTGCTACCTTTCTGTTGTTCCATTCAACAGGGAAAATTAAAGTAGGTCAAAGGCAGAGCATGATGAAGACCTTTGGAGAAGTACAGATGATAAAACATGGGAGTTGATAAGAAAGTGTTCTAACTATAGCAATATGTTCCAATTATTGCGAATTCATGAGAACTATCAGTGTGAATGAATTTTCTCTAGCCAAGTTTATGTTCTACAGTTTTGATTCTCTTGATGTTGGATCCAAGGCGATTCTCCCATTGGTTGTATGGCATTATGGCTAATGTTTCAGAAGTGAAATAAATACTTATATCAAGATATAAAACAAAGCAGCAAGACCAAGGTTTGAACCTTTTAGCTCTTCTGTAGGCCAACACCCCACAGGCATGCTTGAAAACTAAATTTGTTGGAAGAGATCATAAGAGAAATCACTTATAGCCAACTGTATTTAGAATATGCTGAGCTGTAAATCTAACCTAAAGACTTAGCACAGTGAATTTTTTCACCGATTTTTTGAAGAACTTCCCTTTAAGAAAATACCTTAAAATGTATCTTCTAAAATTGATACATAGTTCTCACAAAGAAAATAGGAAGTATATATAAGTTGAAATTTATGTAAGTTTATGGAAGTATACTTAAACGAAAGATCAGTATCACAGCCTAGAAGTCACCAATGTTAACATTTAAATGTATAAGTCCAGATATTTTTCTTTTTATTACTAATGTCTGACATTCTATCTGTAAAGATATGTCTGCTTCCTGAGTCATTCCTGATGAGTATCTCTCTCTTTGATCATTAATTTGGAACCAAAATCATAATGATTATAATGTGGTCTATCATATCTTATTTAATACATTGTTTATTCTTAAACATTTCTTTTTACTAATTATTAATTATCAGGAATTCTTCAATGAACATCCTTATAATACCTTTTTGTTCATTTCTATTTTTTCCCAAGACAAAGTGTCCTAGAAGTGGGATTTCTGAATAAAACATTGGGCATGCCCTCAACGTGCAAGAAGTTATGCATACTTACTTGGAAGAAACAGATTAATAAGATATAATTGCTACCTTTCTGTTGTTCCATTCAACAGGGAAAATTAAAGTAGGTCAAAGGCAGAGCATGATGAAGACCTTTGGAGAAGTACAGATGATAAAACATGGGAGTTGATAAGAAAGTGTTCTAACTATAGCAATATGTTCCAATTATTGCGAATTCATGAGAACTATCAGTGTGAATGAATTTTCTCTAGCCAAGTTTATGTTCTACAGTTTTGATTCTCTTGATGTTGGATCCAAGGCGATTCTCCCATTGGTTGTATGGCATTATGGCTAATGTTTCAGAAGTGAAATAAATACTTATATCAAGATATAAAACAAAGCAGCAAGACCAAGGTTTGAACCTTTTAGCTCTTCTGTAGGCCAACAACCCACAGGCATGCTTGAAAACTAAATTTGTTGGAAGAGATCATAAGAGAAATCACTTATAGCCAACTGTATTTAGAATATGCTGAGCTGTAAATCTAACCTAAAGACTTAGCACAGTGAATTTTTTCACCGATTTTTTGAAGAACTTCCCTTTAAGAAAATACCTTAAAATGTATCTTCTAAAATTGATACATAGTTCTCACAAAGAAAATAGGAAGTATATATAAGTTGAAATTTATGTAAGTTTATGGAAGTATACTTAAACGAAAGATCAGTATCACAGCCTAGAAGTCACCAATGTTAACATTTAAATGTATAAGTCCAGATATTTTTCTTTTTATTACTAATGTCTGACATTCTATCTGTAAAGATAGAATATATTTTGATAAATGGAATAGTTGTACATATGTGTAGTAACCTGCTTTTGCCACTGTCAGTATATTTTTTTCCTATATTTTTTGGTTATTCTACTTTTTTTTTTTTTTTTACACCTACAGTACCCAGTCTTCCTAAGTGGTCTCCATCCAAGTACTAAGCAGACCAATCCTGCTTAGCTTCCGAGATCAGAAGGGATTGGGCTTGTTCAGGGTGGCATGGCTGTAGACTAATTTTTAACGACTACTTAATATCTCATTGTGAAGTTCTGGAATTTATTAACCTAGTATTCAGACGATCCCAGATTCACGATGATTTTCCAATTTTATAATGGTGTGAAAGCAATACCCATACTACCTGTCCATTTTTCACTTTCAGTACAGTATTCTATAAATTACATGAGATATTCAACACTTTATTACAAAACAGGCTTCATGTTAGATGAGTTTGCCTAACCATAGGCTAATGTAAGTGTTCTGAGCACCTTTAAGGTAGGTCAGATAGTCTAAGCTATGGTGTTTGGTAGGTTGGGTGTATCATTTTCAGCTTATGATTATTTTCCTCTTAACAATGGGTTTATCGGGACATAGCCCCATCATAACTTAAGGCGCATCTGTATTCTTGCTGGACTCAGAAAGCTGAACAAAACCAGAGACGTTTCTTCTATATGCTGTCTAGCTCATGTGTTTGGCCCACCCTCCCCTTTCCCCCAGGATCATATGAGACTAGGCTTTGTAGAGTTGGAATGTTTTTGTCATTTGCAAGACTGTCACTTCCAAGGATGTCCATCAAGTTCTCGCAGGTGGAAAGTGACTGCCTGAAAGCTGCTCAAAGGGATATAACAAGGATGTGATATTGGAGCCCTGTTTTGCCAGTTAATATTTTGCCTCAATATTTATAATTTGCCTGCTGGAGGTATTTGCCTTCATTATGAGTCTCTGGAGAGCCTTTGAGGAACTGATTTAACATTCGTATCACTGGAAACAAACTATTTTTTTATTACTGAGGCTTCATTTTCTTGACACCTAAGGTGACCTTGTCTTTCTTTGGCATTTTTATTCTTCTTCCCTGATTGACATTACCACAGCAGACCCAAGTTTCATTTTGTTGCCAGCCCTTCTGGGTCAGGGACCCAAACCAAGGTCCTTCTGCCCAGTGCAGTTTGCGCCAATAGAGAAAGACTGAGTTCAGTAAAGCAGCACAGCAACTTTTCTCTTTGATGGAGGAATGGAGAAGAGTGAGCTCATGCTTAAAAGGCACCTCCTCCGCATAGTTAGGGCTTGGGGTGGGAGGCTTTTAAAGAAACTGGGTAGGCAGGATAAGGGGGTGGGGAGTTCTTAGAAAGGGGGCAGCGACCTCTGGGAAGAGCTGGGGTATGTGCAGTCCCCAATGGTTCCGTTGCACAAGGCACTCACTGTGCCTAGAGGTGTACATTTCTTTCCCTTGGGTGTGATCTTTATTATGTTAATGAAGACAAGTTGGCTAGTGGTCATGGGTTGGGGGTTCTGAACACCATCTTCGAATGAGCTGTCTGTAGGTGTTGTGGTTAACCGTTAGCAGTTTGCCTTAGTTCCTATAAGCAAGCATAGCTTGTGACATAGTTTAGGTATTTGGGAACAGTAGGGTTTCCTACATGATATCCAGGTGACGATATCTTCTCCTATGTATAGGACTTTATTATCTGTAAGACTTACGTGATTTTCTTACTGCAGGAAAGGAGACAGCCCTAAATGATGTAGAGAGTGGTTTAACTAAACGGGCTCCAAGAAGAGGAAAGCCATTGCAGGTAAAAGTTTAACTGCTGTGAAGAGTGAGAAGTATGAGAAGCTTTCTTCTCAGAGGCCAGGCGAAAGAACTGAGATCCCTTTGGCCTGAGTTCCCAAAGAGTTGTCACCAATTGTGAACAGAATCATCTGAAAATGGAGTCAACTATGTCGAGGGGCCCTAAAATGGGAGTCAGGATGCCATTAGCAAAGTCAGGTTCAAGCACATCTACACCCAGATGAGGTTTGAAGTTTTGGACTTCTATGCTTGCGAAGAAGCACATCTTGGAACTTGCCTCCCTGTCATGCGGATGCTTATCTGAGTCCCACCACTGAGACCTGACTAAACCTTCCTGAGCTAGTCATCATACCAGGTTAGACAGCCAAGGAAAAACTGGTTTTTGCCTTGCTAAGCTTGGGCTTCCTTTGTCTTCCCAGAGCACATATCAGGTCTTCTACTGAATCTGTCTCCATGTTTCGAATCCTTTAAGTCCCCAAATAAACTTCTGATTTGTTTTACAGTCTCAGATCTTTATTGGTTGACACCATAATGCCCATGTGTCTGTAGGTCCTTCTATAATCCCCTCCAGTTTCAAAGAGAAAGGGGTTAGCCTTAGAGAACTTGTACCAATAAAATATACATGTACTTGAGGATGCTAACTTAATTTTGTGACTGAATATCTAGACCCGCCCCCTGCATTTTGGCTTCTGATGTTGCTTGAGTGACTAGGCTATTTTGCAGTTTAAACTCTGCCTACCTGATGAACTGCCTTCCCTGCATTGTCTATTTCACCACAAAACTTGTTTTTACCAGTTTATTTTGCAGATACCAAGGGAAACTGAGGCATTGGCCCCTGTTTTGTGTCCCCTTTATTCCCCTGCTGACCATGTCTTATTACTCCAACTCTTGGCCATATCCCGTGACTCTACCTACTGACCATGAGTCAACCGAAACTACCATTGTTCTTATCTCACAACCCCACTTGCTGACTACTGAGAGTCCAGTTGCCCCCTCCAATCAGAAAATGAATGACGTAAGTTTATGAACTTGTTTCCCTAGCAACCCATCCCTCTGACTCTCGCTTTTAAAACCCTTGCCTTATTCTTCCCACCTCAGAGCATGTCTTCAGTTCATGCCAAAGGCTAGGTTCTTTGATTTGCAAATCATATCAGAATAAAACTCTTTAATTCCTCAGAATAGTCCTGTGGAACTTTGGTTTACATACTGAACGTTAAAATTTAGAAAACAGAGACTCCAAAAATAACAGTTGCCCACTATGAGTTTTATTGTAAATCCCTTTACCCTCCTTCTATACATAGCCTTTCCTTCCAAAAATAAGACTGGCTAAATGTTGTTGTTCTGAAACCCACCTTCCTTATCTAACACTTGGTGAACATTTTTCTATGCCAACAGGTAAACCTATAGAGCATCCATTGTTCTGAAACCCACCTTCCTTATCTAACACTTGGTGAACATTTTTCTATGCCAACAGGTAAACCTATAGAGCATCCATTGTAAGGGCTGTTTTTGAAAAGATGGAAGTACATTTCCAGTGTAAATTCCAAAAACTGGATGGTAGGTAAACATAAAGTTTTCACACATACTATCAAATTCCCCGCTACAAAGTGTGGATGTAAGAAATGTCCAAACTTGAAGACAATTTTCATAAGTGTTTATTTGAGCCAAATTGATGACATATGCCAGGGAGCAAGATCTCAAATTCTCTGTGGAATAACAGTGAGGTTACTCTCCATAGAAGCCCTTTTATCATCCACAAATGCTTGTACCAACAATAATATGAGACTGCCTAATCCCCTGTGTATTAGTTTTCTGTGGCTGCTCTAACAAATTACAACAAACTGGGTCGTTTGAAACAATATTTATTCTCTCTCACAGTTCTGGGGCCAGACGTCCGAAATCAAGGTGTCAGCAGGGTTAGACTCCCTCGAGAGACTCTAGGGGAGAATCTGTTCTTTGCCTTTTCCAGCTTCTGGTGGCTGTAGGTATTACTTGACTTGTGGCCCCATCACTCTAATTTCTGCCTCCACGGTCACACTGCCTGTGAAATCTCTCTCTGCCTCATGAGTGGCACAGATTGGATTTAGGGTCCACCTAGACAATTCAGGATAAACTCCTCACCTCACAATCCTTAACTTAATTATATTTACAAAGACTGTTTTCTCAGATAAAGTAACATTCACAAGTTCCTGAGAGTAGGATGTGGACATATCTTTTTGAGGTCACCATTCTGCCTGTTACACCCTGTCTTACTAACAGAATATTATACTTTTTAATTTTTATCATTCGGATAGGTGAAAACAGTTTCAGTATCATTTTAATTTGCATTTCTCTTTTCATATATTTAAGGGTCACTTAGATGTATTTTTGTGAATTATCTGTTCATTTCTTTTATCCATTTATTTTTTGGTAGTTTTTTTTATCTTTCTTGCAATTTTAAGGGTTTTTTTTTGGAATTGAGGTATAATTGACATGTTAGTTTCATATGTACAACATAACGATTCAATATTTGTATTATGGTAAAGTGAGGAAATTTTTTTTAAATATTAGGAATTCTATGCACTGAATTCACTCCCCCTAATTCATATGTTAAAGCTCTAAATCCCAGTACCTTAGAATGTGACTACATTTGGAGATAGGGCCTTTAAAGAGGTATTAAGTTAAAACGAGGCTGTCAGAGTGGGCCTTTTCCAATCTAAGTAGTGTCCTTATAAGAGGAGATTGTGATATACAGGGAGAGATACACCAGGGATTCCTGTGTAATGAGAAAAAGCTATATGAGGACACAGAAGGAGAAGAGAACTCAGGAGAAACCAAACCTTCCAAAACCTTGATCTTGGACTTCCAGCCTCCAGAACTGTGAGAAAGTTAATTTCCGTTGTTTAAACCACCCAGTCTGTAGTATTTTTGTTATGGCAACCCTAGCAAACTAATACAGGAATATTAGCCCTTTATCTGTTGATATATCTTGCAAATATTTCCTCAAAATTTTTAGTTAAATCTTTGAATATTTCAAAATTTTAATATTTTGTTTTTCTGCATCTGTTTCCTGAGTCATGGTTAGAAACTTCTTTCTTACACTAAAATTAAACAGGAATTCACCCATGATTTCCTCTAGGACCTATATGGTTTCATTTCTTACATTTATATCCCTGATCTGTTTAGAGTTTATTCTTGTGGTATGATGTGAGAGCTGAATAGAATTTTACTTTTTTCCAAATGCCAAACCACTTGTCTCAGCTATATGCTTATATTTTAACTTTTGATTTTGAGATAATCATAGATGTATATGCCATTATAAGAAATAATATAGAGAGATTCCCATACTTTTATCTAGTTTCCTTCAATGGTAAGTTCTTGTAAAACTATAGTACAATATCATAACCAAGACATCGATAGTAATACAATCCACAGAACTCATTTACATTTTGCTAGTTTTACACGCACTCATTTGTGTATCTCTGAGTATATTTAGTTCTGTGCAATTTTATCACATGTGTAGAGTCATGTGACCACCAACACCATCATGATTCCGAACAGTTCTATCACAAAGATCCCTTGTGCTAACCTTTTATAGCCAAAGCCACCTCCTCTCAACCCCACCTCCCAATCCCTGGCAGCCTCTAATCTGTTCTCCATTTCTATAGTTTTATCATTTTAAGAATGTTTTATAAAAGGAATCATACAATTTGTAATTTTATGAGATTGCTCTTTCTCAGCATAATTCCCTGGAGATCCACTTAAGTTGTGTTTCAATGGTTCATTCCTTTTTATTGCTGAATGTTTTTCCATGATGTACATATGCCCTACTTTGTTTAACCATTTACCTGTTGAAGGACATCTGGGTTATTTCCAGTTTGGGGTTACTACAAATAAAGCTGCTATGAACATTCCTATTCAAGCATTTGTGTAAACATAAGTTCTCATTTCTCTGCGATAAATGGCCAAGAGTGTAGTTGCTGGGTTGTATGGTAGGCTATGCACTTACTTTTTATGGTGAAACTTCGCTTTATGTCCAGCAAAACACTGTATAATAATGGGGAAATGTGGGAAAGAACTTAAATATCCTATAATAGGGACATGGTTAAATAAATTATAGCATATCCAGACAAACAATGTAGTCAAAAAATTATGACAGAGTTTAAGATTTGATTCAAGGTAGATTACAAAACAGTATTGCAGTATGATTCCGTTTTGAATGAGAAAGTCCTATATGCCTATACCCACGTGTTAATTCACAGAGAAAAAGATGAAAAGATTTGGAATAAAATGTGTAAAGATGCTGTTTGTATGTGAACTTTACTTTAAGCTTGTCTGTATTCTCTTCATTTGGAATTAAGAATCTACTAATTTTACCATCAGAAAAAAATAATAGGAGATATGTGTATTGTTGTAGTGGTTTGAATTCTGGCTGAAGAGGCCTGAACTTTCTTCCTAGATGTGAAGCCTTTCAGATGCTCACACACTACCTTAAAGGTTCTAAACCTTAAATCCTAAGATTCTAAATGTGGGGCAACAAGTAAGAGGATTCCAATAGAGTCCTCTTACTTGTTGCCCCACATTTACCTAGGCTCAGATCTCTTCTTGCCAACCTCTACACTAACCATTGCTCTAACAAAGAAATCACATCTGCCTTATAAATCGAAATTCTGCACATAGAAGAGGAAATGGGGCTTAGGCCTGATCTGGCTATGCAGAAATTCAGAACATCTCCTTGATCATCAGGAAGAAAAGGAAGTTGGATCTCTGGTCAAGATGGCAGAGAAGGTTAACACTATGCTCACCTTCTCCTACGACAATATCATAATTGTAACTAAGTTATAGAACAACCTGGAGAACAATCTTAAGACAAGATGAACAGAGAAGTCCTAGAGCTAAGGCTATAAAGAAGAAACCACCTCAAGACTGGTAGGAGGGGTGGTGACACGAAACAGGGTGATCCCACATCCACGTTTGGAGGTTAAAAATTGGGAGGGATATCTTGGCTACAGACGTCTTCCCAAGGAGCAAGGGGTCCCAGCCCCACACCAGGGTCCCCAGCCTGGACACCAGTGCTGGGAAGAGAAGCCCCCACGACACCTGACTGTGAAAATCAGCAGGAACTAGCCAGGTGAAGGAAGGATGCCGGAAACCCAAGCATCTTGTAAAGGGCCTCTGCACAGTCTCTCTCAGAGGCACTTACCCAGGGCTCTGGTGGTTGGGGAGGGGGTGGGGCACTAGAGACATGCAGGGAGAAACTGAGTTGTGTGGCTTTGGGGTAAGGGCTGGAGAGACAGCCACCATTGTCCTTGTGTTAAGCCCGCCCCCCAACATGGCCAAATATGAATCTGCATTAACCTGGTGAACAGCACTTCTCCCACCCTGGTGACTCCCTGAGAACAGTGCCTCATCCAACTCATGTACTACCCAAGGGTCTCTCAGTGGCTGAGACTTACAGCCAGCTGACACCTGGTGGCCAGCCTCCGGGTACACTTATGCTGAGTGATCCCAGGCCTAGTATTG